AATTTTCCCTGACATGATTCAATAGCTGATCCGATGAGAAGGGAACCCCTTCCGAGCCTTTCTTATAATTTTTACTTGGCCTACTCGACTCAGGTTCATACTTTTCATTGTATTTTAAAGCTTTAACCTCCGAGCCATTGTCAGATTTTGTTAAGGAGGCCTCTGATGAGCTTTGAATCATTTTTTTAAAGTTCATGTTCAGAATATAACTTCTTTTTAATACAATAATAAAACATGATATGAAACTCTCGTGCTATGAACATTGTCATTACTCGAGCCAAACCGTCGGATGCTAGCTTCTCAACAATGGCTTGATAATTTTGCATTACTCAAATTGTCAACAACAATGAACGCTCACTGCTGAACCATCTCCCTTCCTTAAGCATAAAAAAATTAGAAAGAAGGAATCAAAACTGATTTCTTTAGATTTTTGGCGGCGTTTTGATCAAGAGCAAGAATAACGTTATTCTTGTACGAGCCATTTGTTTGGAATTATTGGATAGTAATATAATTGTTGTTATTATTGGAAAAACGATCATTATTGATCATTGTATTATTATTATTATTAAAATTGGAATTGTATCATCATCGGGAACATTTCAGCGGAATACTTTGTAAACTTTGGATCATATTGAATTGTATTTTCATCATACAATAATATTAGTAATAATATAGAATGAGAAAGACATTGGTACTTGACCTTGACAATACTCTTGTTGCATCATTTTCAACAAGTAAAGCACAATTACTAGGATCTTGTGATTATGTTGTGTCAATACCAAGAGAAAAATATCATGACACAATCACAATAGCTGTCTTTAAGAGACCACATTTAGAAGAGTTTTTAGATGTTGCTTGTAGTTTATTTGATGTTTGGATTTTTACAGCTTCCGATAAATCATATGCTCAACCTGTTTGTGAAAATTTACTGAACAGTAAGGAAAGATTTAAAGGATGTCTATTTAGAGATTCACTGGTAAAAGGAGGAAAGGACTTGTCGATATTTAATGTAAATATGGATCAAATAATGATTATAGACGATGATGAATTTAATTTTCAAAATAATCCAAAAAGTAAGTACAAAAAAACTATTTAAATTAAATTTTGAAAAGATGGTGTTACCATTAATTCATTTGGATTTGATACTATTACAATACAGAAAGAGTTAAGATTGGATCATGAGCTCAGAGATTTTATCCCTCTTCTGAAATCTGTTGCAGACTCTCCAACTGTATTTGAACCAATATTACAATATAAGCAATTCCACTCGAGCAATTTCCAAAATTGTGACATTTCCCCATTAACATCCTCTTCCTCTAATACACCAGCTGTCACATCTTTCCATGCATTTTCACCTTTCGATGATATGAATGATGAAAAATCCCCAAACTCTGCAACTTCAGCAAGTTCTGACATTTTAATTTAAAATCCTTGTAAACTAACAAATAATTCCATAAAGAATTTTTGAATAATAGCAAATCCATTATTGTTTTTATCTAGCTCGCTAAGTCTTTCGATGTATTAAGAAATTTTCAAAGCATGATAAAAAATTTGAATTTTATTGGACTTGGTGAACATTGAGATCAAAGCACAACTACTAAGTCTTATTGATTTTCAATTATCCAGTAGTATTATTATTTTAAAAAGAACAAGAAATGAAAAAAAGCAAAATTGTAATTTTTTAATCCAACAAAAAAAATGTTAGGCAAATCCACTCAAAGTCTTTTCTACAATCTCATCTGGAAGAGAACCTCAACAACCGCTTTGTTCGTCGGTGTTGGTGCTCTCTGTTTTGAACAAGTTGTTGATAGAGGTATCGATGCTTTCTGGGATAACTACAACAAGGGTGTAAGTTTTTGGATAATCAAAATAATATTTAACTAAAATATCGGATGCGCAAACATCATCAATATCATCTTTTTATTATAAATAATTACTAACAGAGACAATTCAAGGACATTGAACCAATCTACAGAGAAAACGGATGGCTCAAGGAAGAAGAAGAATAAATTTAATCTTCTCTATTTTTGAACACAACAACAACATCTTCTATTTCATAGGGAAAATTTTAAAACATAATGAAGGAATCTAATCGATTATCTTTGATAACAATAAAAAAAGCTTTAAATTATAATTTAAATAGTATCCTATTCTAATTAACAATTTCAATAATTGGTAATGTTATTAATCTGGTTCGACATCAAACTACATTCCAAAAGTACAATTCATTTTCATCATGTAAGGTTCTTCAATCATATGAAAGTACATTGTTGGATTGAAAAGGGATGACTTTGATCTGTGCAAAAACACGTATTTATTCCTTCCTCGTTTTTGCACGCCATCAAGACATTAAGTCCAGGTTAGTCCTTTCGTTGGTTGTGTGAGAGAATTATAAATTAAATCGAATTGCTGATCCACGTCTAACAAGAAACAATTCGATAAAAAATTACAAGATAAAAAAAATGAAGAGCATTATCATCGCAATCTTGATTGCTCTCTTTGCTTGCACTTTTGTGTTTGCACAAGATTCTGTTGTTGATCTTACATCAAAGAACTTTGAAGAAAAGTTACAAGAAAAGGAATTTGCCTTGATTGAATTCTTTGCTCCATGGTGTGGTCATTGTAAGAAATTGGTCCCTGAATATAATAAGCTCGCTGAAAAGTTTGCTACCAATGAAAAGGTTAACATTTTCAAGGTTAATGGTGACCAAGAATCTGATGTCATGTCTAAGTTTGAAATTCAAGGTTTCCCAACTATCAAGTTGTTCAAGAATGGTAAATTCTTCAGAGATTATGATGGTGAACGTACTGCTGATGCTATTGCTTCTTGGTTGCACAAGAAGACTGGTCCTGTCAGTATTCCAATTGAATCTGCTGAAGCTTTGGATCAATTGAAGGCTTCCTCTAAGGTTATTGTTGTTGGTTTCGTTTCATCAAAGACTTCTGAAACCTACAAGAAGTTCCTCCAAGCTGCTGATGATAAGGATTTGGAAGAATTCATTGTTGCTGAAGTTGTTGACAATGCTGAATTGAATGCCAAATTCGATATTAAGCAAGATTCTGTTGTTGTTATCAGAGATTTTGATGCTACTCCTGCTGTTTCTACTGATTTCGATGCTATTGCCACTTTTGTCAAGGATAATGGTTATCCATTGGTTGATGAAGTTAGTGGTGCTACTTTCCAAAGATTTGTTGATAAGGCTTTGCCAATTGGTGTCCTTTTCATTGATTTCTCCAATGCTGAAACTAAACAAAAGCACGTTGAAGAATTGAACGAAATTGCTCAATCATTCAAGGGTAAGGTTTCATTGGGTTACTCTGATGCTGCTGTTTATGGTGGTCAATTGGAAGTTATGGGTGGTAAGAAGGATGCCATTCCAGGTTTCGCTGTCATGGATTTGGAAACTAGATCAAACTATCCACTCAATATTGATACTGTTAATAAGGAAGAAATCATTGCTTTCCTTACCAAGGTTTTGGCTGGTGAAGTTCCAAAGTTCTTGAGATCTCAAGAAATTCCAGAAGAAAACAATGAAGCTGTTAAGGTTGTTGTCGGAAAGTCATTTGATGATTTGGTTATTAACAATGATAATGATGTTTTGCTCGAATTCTATGCTCCATGGTGTGGTCACTGTAAGTCACTCGAACCAAAGTACACTCAATTGGCTGAAGAATTGAAGTCTGTCTCTGGTTTGGTTATTGCCAAGATTGATGCTTCTGAAAATGATACTCCAATCAACATTGAAGGTTTCCCAACCATTTACTTCTTCCCTAAGGGTGGTAAGGCTTCTCCAGTTTTGTATGAAGGTGATAGAACTGTTGAAAGCTTAAAGACTTTCTTACAAAAGAATGCTGTTGGTGCTGTTTTCACTGAAAAGAAGGACGAATTGTAAATTTACATTTTAAACCCAATCTCTAAATAAATATATTTATTCATAAAAAGTTATTCTTCAATCAATAATTAGAACTTCAACAATATTAAGGTTGTTTTCAAAAGAATTTAGTTGTACTATTATTGCACAGCTGTTTTCTGTAGATGAGAAAATGGACAAAAAAATCACAAGTAAATGATCAACAATTAAAACTAGTGAATGTAGTGTTCGATATCGATAGAAAAGAGAATAACCACATACATTGTTTGGTTGGAATTAGTGTTATTTTAACATGGGTATGACTCATAGTAGGAAATAGATGATGTTCATAAAATGGTTGAAGTACAAACAAAGAAGAAAATAGAGGATAATGGATGACAATTTAAAGTTTTTAAATTATGTGGATGACAAATTTCTTCATATGAAACTCCAATGTAAAATATTATTCAATATTAAATTATATTATAAATTTGTTTTATTTATCGCGGAAGAGAGATTATCATTAAAATTTTAATTGGTTCTATCAATTAACAACAATTTTCTCTTCGCCAGGTGTTCTTTTTGTAAACGGTTGACTTGGTCATTGGTAACAAATTTGTTTTTAAAAAAAAAGTCTCTACGTAGATTTATCCACCATTATATAAAAATGTCGAACAGTTTCAATCTTTTGGAACACGCTTCAAACAGCGATCCACTCGAAATTGCTTCATCTGCCAAGAAGGAAGTTAAGCAAGAAAAGCCAAAAGTTGAAGAAAAGAAGCCAGTTCAACAACAAAGAAAGCCAAAGCCAACTTCTGCTCCATCCGAAGTTGTCGAAGAAGGTTTCCAAGGAACCCGTTCTAAGACTAGAGGTGGTAGACAACAACACCAAGGATACCAACCACCAAAGAAGGGTAGAACTTTCGATCGTCATGTCTCTGGTACTGGTA